TATCAGGAAAGAAGGGATCCAAAATTCATTTCAAATCGGGGAAAAGGATGCTTTGGTTATGTGCTAGAAGTTAAAGACAGGCTGTTAATTTGAATTTAAATAGATATCAGCCTGGAGATTTATAATTGTTAAATTGAATGAAGGAAGAAGTTGGAAGGATTATTTTGTTTTTTGGGTTTCCAAAAGAGATTTTTTTTGGTTTGCCCCTAAAGAAGCAGTGCTAAAAATCACAGTTTTATTCTACTTTACCCTTTAATACATTAGAAATATTTTTGATGTTGGGTGCAATAGTGTGTGCCTGTAGAACCAGTTACTTAGGAGGTTAAGGCAGGAGATTGCTTAAGCCTAGGAGTTTGAGGTGTGTCTGAGCAATATAGTGAAACACCCCCCATATATATATATATATATATATATATATAAAATTTAATCAGTGTAATTTGGGGTTATAATGATTTATAGCATTGCATGTTACCTATTTTACATACAATAAAACAATATAAATTTTAGGTGTTGACAGGTCATACAAGAAGAAGAGCATATGGTTATGTAAGTACATGTGAGATGTGAGTTGAAAACTGTCCCCTCTTTTTTTCAATACAAATGAACATATACTGATCCCATATTAAATGGAGCACAGCTAAGAAATGGTCTATGTGTATTTCTCTCCTACTAGCCCAGGATACATCCTTGCTATTTTTCCCAAAGTTGGGTGCATCCTGTTTACTAGTTTTCTACAGTTATTTGGTCTCCTGTAGTATAGTGGTAGGCTTATTCAAAAGCTCAGCGTCTTAGAAGGCAGAGTGATATAGTTAGAGCTAATGGAGTATTTGCTTCATTTTTGAACATACATTGAGATAGACACACTGCTTTTTATGGAGATTATGGGTTGATTTGTTACTTCATTTGGCTCATCAAAGGATTGATGTGAGCATAATCTTTACTAAGCTTTTTGTCTGAATTGTATTGTAATCATATATGTCCTCAGTGACTTCTTCCACAAAGCTGGAGGTGGCTGACTCTAGGACAGTTGAGAATTCAAAAGCCTTCATGGTCAAATCTGTATCTGTGGTTGAGCTCAGGATAGTGGTCGCAATTTTATACCATTTAAATCATTGATTGATTCTAGCAGGTCAGTGGTTGATTCAGGGTAGTGTGGGGAAAGTCATATCCAGGACACACAATATGATTCCATTCAGTTTATACTCAGTTCTTTGGAAACATCATGTATAAGTCTTGAAGACTACCTATAAACCACATAAAATCTTTATTTGATGGAGTTATAATTACTGTGAACAATGGGGTATAAATTTAAAAAGGTAAAATAACTAACTTAAGAATACTATTTTATGGTTTACTAAGCTCCTTGTCATGTTTTCACTATAATATTCTGTGAATAGCATCACTGTTATTAATCCCAAAGAACTACATACAACTGGATGTAAAGTGTTTAACCTTTCTTGGACTCAGTTTACTTATCTCAGAAACAGTGATAATAGAAAAGTATAAATGAAATAATATGTACAGTCAGGAACATAGTTATTTCTCAATATATATCTGTGTGTGTGTGTGTATATATATATATACATATATATATGTATATATATGTATATATGTATTTCTGTATATATATATGTATATATGTATATATGTATTTCTGTATAGATCAGAAAACGAATTTATTGCCCTCCAAGACCACAATGTCTAATATTTAGCCACTAGCCCCTATTTCAGATCCTTAGTAGGCACTTAGGAGTAGTAGCTATTATTTTGAATTTGACAGATAGAGAACATTTCCATCATTGTGGAAAGTTGTTTGCCAATATTATATGCTACTAATGACTACTGTTATGGTTTAGATATTATATATCCCCCAAAAGCTCGTATGTACGGCAATGCAAGAAAATTTATAGGCAAAATAATTGGGTTATGAAAGCCTTAACTTAATCAGAATATTAATACCCTGATAGAGATTAACTGAGTGGTGACTTAGGCAGGTATGGTGTGGCTGGAGGTGGTGGGTAGATGGGTAGATGGGGGTGTGCTCTTGGGTTTATATTTTGTCTGCAAGGGGAACTCTCACTGCTTCCTGGTATCATGTCTCCAGCTGCTTTCCTCTGCCATACACTTCTACCATGATGTTTTGCCTTATCTCAGGCCCTGAGGAATGGAATCAGCCATCTGTAGAATGAGACCTCTGAAATCGTGAACCCCCAAATAAACTTTTCTAAGCAGTGATTTAGACAGTGTCATTATATTATCATATATGGTCAGAATGAATTGGGATCTTTTAATTCCTTAAAGATGAAAGACCAGAGAAGATGCTGCTTATGCCAAGCCTTGGAGAATGGGTGTACACAGAGGGAGGAGGTCACCTAGTAATGTCAGATGATACATATACCAAAAGTACAGGACAATTTAAATCAAGAAGATTTATAAGATTACATTTATATAAACAAAATTAGTAATTTAAAAACCTTAAAGTTCTTATTTATTTATTTATTTTGGTGTGTGTGGGTATGCGCTTCATTGTGTCAATATTGAAAGTCTTCAATTTTAGGGAAGGGAAATGATATGTTAGGAAGTTTGATCTGACAAAATAGAATGAATAGCATGGATCAGAAGCTAGGAGATATTCATGGGTATCAGGACAGCCTTGGGCCATTGATAGTCTTAATTATGATAAACAGTGGCAGAAAAAAGGATTTAAAAGAATGTGAAATAAAAGCCAGGAGAAGATTTAAAAAAAAAACAAAAAAAGAAAGAAAGAAAAACAAGAAATAAAGGAAGCCAGGTGGCCAGAATCTGAGATGTGGTGACTGGAGTTGGAGAATGGAGAAAAGAGAAATGAAAAGGACTGAGGTATGTATCTATAAGGACACAGAAATAGTTGGGGCAGCTTTGAGTAAAATACAATGATTCAGTTTTTAAAGAACAAACAAAAAATTGAATTGGGAAGAATTTGCTTCTGTTTCAAAGATTTTTGAAATTATACCATTCTCAAAGATGATTGTATAATTTCAAGAAACCTAAAACTTGAATGTCCACTAGGTATCAGGTACTATGTGGAGTAGCTAATGTATTTATTGATTGTAATATTCATAAATTGTTGTGCAAGGTAGGTGCATAGGGATATCCGTGTTTTACAGATTAAAAAAAAAATCAAAGTTCAGAAAGGTTAGTGAGAGAGAACTACCCACTACTCTTAAGAATTTATCCATTGTTTCATTATTGGAACAGTTCTAGTTGTTATGAAATTCGTCAGTACTACTTCTGTTCCGTGAAGTAACTAAACAGTGCCATAACCTCCTCCCCTTTTCAAACTCCCTCTTCTCCCCCAACCAGAATGTGCTCTTCACATGTTTGAGGAACATTATATCATTTGTTAATCAGAACTTCTGAAGGTTAAACATCATAAGTTACTCCAGCACTTTCTCTTCTAATCTGAATTTTGTGTCAATCATCATCCTATTCCCTTCTTTGGATCCATTCAAATTTGTCATGACTTCTCTGAAATTTGGTGCCCAGTATAAACCTGAGTATTCAGATACAGTTTAACCAGTCTAAAATTCAATGGAACTATTTTCTCTACTATATAGGGCATTTTATATATTAATGTATCAATGCCTAACAGACATCCCTGGAGAAATTTTAGCAGGAATTTGGAAATTTAGAATTGGTGCTCATTCATTCATTCATTCAATATTTATTTCCTATCTACTAGTAGATAATTTGTAGGTACTTAGAATAGACACTTAATGATAATTGATCCTAGGAAGAAACTGTATATAAATGTGTGTGTATGTGTGTGTGTGTGTGTGTGTGTGTGTATGTATGTGTATATATGTACATATATGTAAATATAAATGTATATTTATCTAAAATTTTATACATTTGTATATTTACATTGTTTATATGTGAAATAATTTACCAAAGACAGATATTTGGATACATAAAATTTTGGAATGACTTTCTCCAAGAAGGAGAAGCTAGGAAAATGAGCCTAAATGGACAATGGGAATGTGTCAAGAGTAGGAACTGGCAGAATCAGCCATTATTTCTGGGTAGATTCTGGGCACCTGAGCAATATGTTAAGAAAAGTATGTTGCACTAAGTCCTAAGGAAACCTAGTTTCTGCCAATAGTGAGATAGGGATTTCCTCAATTATGAGTTGAAATGTTCCCTTTTATAATATGAATGACAGGTCTCTTCTTTACACGTTTAATTATTCCTTTCACAAAATATTCAACTCTTTGTGTACTGGAACAGATTTTGAATCTCTTAAAATTTCCTCAATATGGGAGGGTATGTAGCTCATGGTTGAGTTCTTGTCTAGCATAGGTTCATTCCATACCACAGGAGGGAGGGAGAAGGAAGGAAAGAACTCTTTCCAGTATAGATTATGAAAGATGAAATAACCTGGGAAGTGATTCAGTTTCAGATTTAAAGGATAATTTAAAGTTAGGCAGTATGTTTAGCCTCAGTAATTCTAAATTATTTTATCTTGTTTTGCATTTCATTATTTATTTAGATGTTTAAGCTCATACTTTTTATAAGCTGGTGAATAGGACTCTATTTTCCCAAAGATCTAGAGCCACACATTCCCAAACAGTATAAATATATGATTCATAACATTAATATACATCATCATTTTGTCAGTTATGTAAAATAAGTGATCATATATCTAAATATTAAATAGCTCAAAAAGCATATAAAATATTAGATGTCTGCTCAGTTTATTAAAAGATACTCACTCTTTGCAAGACAGATTGAAAAGAGGAAAATCACATTTAAAAATTAGAAAACAACTTCTAATAAATATGGGGCTAAATATTACAAGAACTTCAGAAGTCTTTTGATTAAGGTGTTTTTGCTCAATAAGAAAGCATTACTACTTTCTAAAAATATTTACTAAATTAAAGAGTGTATTCTACATGTTCTTCACAAGACAAAGGCAACATTTTACTAACTATATTCAATAACCTTCTGCCATTCTTTTTCAGACCCTCCTTAAGTTGCACTTCAGAGAACAAACAGTAAGTTCACTGTAAGGCTTTTTTGTCTGGAGACATTAGTGATGTGCTTATTTTTAAGTTGTACTGCTGAATATCAGAATAGATTTTTCTCCTTCATTTTCAACAACTATAAAAACATGTATTTTTTATTGTTGTTGAAAATAGTATTGCCCGTTTTATAGATGGTAGGGTACCAATTATCAAGTCCTTTGAAATTCTTAGATAAAATATTTGAGAATTATATTACTTAACCAATTAAATATTTTATTTTAAAAAGAAGTTACCCAAAGGTCCATCAACTAATGAATGGAAAAATAAAATGTGACATAGCCCTATAATTAAATATTATTTGGCCATAAAAAGGAATGAAGTAGTGGTACATGCTGCAACATGGATAAATCCTGTAGACATTGTGCCAAGTGAATGAAGCCAGTCATAAAGGCCACATATTGAGATGTTTCATTCATATGAAATGCTCAGAGTAAGCACAGCAAATGTTGATTTCTGAAATTTTTTTTTCTATAGCTCATATTGTTCCTACCACCCCTACCACCAATTCCTATATGTTGCTTCTAGTTCAGAAAGTCCTCCTTTTTAAATTCTAGCATGTACTGATTTCTGGTGATATATGATAATAATCATTTGAATTTTATTTGAATCATTTTAGGCTGTAACTAACTTGATCATATATCCTAAACTTATCTGTGGGTAAATAAATAAGATTAGATTTTCTTGTCCTTATTTACAGTTGTAAAACCAGATTGGCAAATATTTGTTCCACTGTTGCTTTTCCTTAATCATTCTACTACACTGCTGGTAAGCTCAGATATCCTAAGGTCATTTCTTGGCACAGTGTTCTGAGCACCAATTAATAGTCGTTCTGAGTTGGCTCACAAAATGAGACCTGTTTGTCACCCTTGATAGGAATGTAGATGATAAAGGTAGTAGTAAATTAAGGTGACGGTATGAAATCTTTTATTGTCTTTATCTTGTCATATTTCTTTGAGAAGAAGTCAATAAAAGGTAATCTCTGTTACAATTATCAAAAGTGAAATCTTAAATTTTCTGAAAAGGGAAACTTTAGTATAATGATAATACTTGTAGATTATTGAATCTTAATACTTCTCTTAACCTCAACATTTCTTTTTTTTTCCCCCTTTCCAAAATTTAAGACACCATTACCAAATGATGAAAGAAGCTGCTTATTTCTAAGGTTCCAGGGGCTAAATATTAGTACCATCTCCCTCTTTTAAAATGTTTTTCTTTTGGATGAGAGATGATTTAATTTTAAATATTAAGCTTGCTTCATTTGTGTCTGTGGTAAGTGGAATTGTGGCAAACAGAATTGCTTCTTTTGAATAACTATGAAAGGTCAGAAGTAAAGACTTCCTATTTATTTAGCTGTCATATGCTTTACTGATATAAAGGAAAACTGGAAGAATTTCTTTTAGTATAGTACAATGTTAAAGTTCATAAGGTTAGAAATAATTTTCATCCTGACTTAAAACTAATAGGTAATTTTTTAAAAAGATTTAATTACAGTTGTCATTTCTGTGATTTCTACTGAGAAAACAGTAGGGAAAATACCCCACTGAATGCTCTCTCTCATTCCTGAATAATTATATTCTTGAAATAATGACCTTGTCAGGTGACACTATTGGGAAGGTCAGAGAGCATCTGATTTTCAAAGTGTTTGAATTCATACATAGTAATTTCATGTTTAAAAAAAATTTAGCATTTTGACTAAGTGAATCCTTTGACTTTTAGTAGTGTTCTAATGCTGGCTCAAGTGAGTAATATTTGCCCTTGATATATTGATGAAAAAACATAAATCTTTTTGAGAAGCCTTGCTGTTTGGGGTAACTTTAAATTTATTGCATCATTCTATTGTGTGTGTGTGTGTGTGTGTGTGTGTGAGTGTGTGTGTGTGTGTTAACATATATTTCAACATATTGAAAAAAAGATGGAGACTAATATAAGCAATACCCATGTGCCTATTATACAGCTTAATAGATTATCCATGTGGTTTGATTATTACAGAATTTTAAAAAGTAATCATACTGATACATTATAGATACAATTCATGTTTAACCATTCCATTACCTTTATTCTCAGAAGTAATACCTTGAAATTAGTGATTTTTTTATTCCTAAGAAATTTTTACATTATTATTATATCTTTATGTAACAAAAGTGGTATACGCTGCTGTATAATGTGATTTTTGAGCAGTAAGCAGTATCGCACTACATATGTCATTCTGTAGTTTTAATTTTTGGTCAACATTCTTTTTTTATCTTTAGATTTATTTTCATTGATACTTTTGTATGGTATTTCATTTTAAAAATATGCCCAGCTTATTTATCCACTCATTTCTTCATAAACATTTAGTAGTTTCTGTTTTGTGTTAAAAACGATGCTACAGTGAACATTCTTGTTCCTGTCTCTTTTTACTTCTGTGTAATATTTTTGCCTTGTTATGACCTGAGAGTGGAATTTCTGGGTATATGTATATATTTAACTATGTTAAATGTTACCAAATTGTTTTTAAAAGTGGTTATAGCAGTTTACATTCTCATCCCCAGACTTCCTCCCTCCTTCCCTCCCTCCCTCCCT